TTTTAACGGGGGTAAAAACAGACGATTAAATTTTATCCAGTTTATTAAACACAATAATTATATTCTTTTCAAATTCTTAGCCTCTGGTTTATTCTTAAAATATTTCCAAAATTTTGCAAATTTCAGCCTCGATATTCTTATAAAAAAAATTCTTGCTATAAAAGGGTGTCACTGACATATCCCCAAATAAGCGATCGCGCGCGGCTGGGGAAGAGGAAGCCAAAAGTATATTCATTGTAACAAACTGTTTGCTTCTGTTTGTTCCAAGGGCCACGAATTTTACAACCCGCAAGTCAAGCCCAAGATCTTTCTTAGGAACTGCGCTGAAGAACTAAAACCGAGGAAGAAATAGAAATTAAGAAAAATGATAATAGGCTTCGATATTGAAGAGGTACGCCACAAAGGCCAGTTTTAAAGAACAACTTGCGCAATGCGATGTAAAGAATGCATAATCAAGCAGTATTTATGGTAAAACTCCTCTAAAGTTAAGGAAGAACCCGTCTACATTACACTAACAGCCAGTGAATTGTAACTGTGACATCAGTGCCGTGGAAGTTTTCAAGTGACTTACATGTGGGCCCGGGTATAGGCGTACGTCGTTGTTAGACGGATGGTCGTGTTTTGTTCGGGTGATCCTCGCCGGATATCGTCGGTATTCGACTTTCCTCGACAGAGACTAAATATTGGATCGTGCGATGCTGTCAGATGTGTTAAGTTGTTTTGTAATTCAGTCTTTAAAAAGGCTTTTTTTTTTTCAAAGCGGGCCTTTCTCGTTTCAGCCTCCCGTGAGTTAGCTTGAGGAATGCTTTTGCAAAGTGTTATCCGTATCAATTTTTTCCTCGTGCTGTTTATTGACCAGCGATCAGGCGATTTTTTTTTCGGGGAAAGGAGAAAAAAGAACGCCGTCTTTTTCCTCTCGTCTCCCAAACAAAAGGGAAGAAAGACCGCCTGATCGCAGGTTAGCTGTTTATAGATCTTTTCTGGATCGTAAGAGATGTCTTTAAAGCCAAACATATGTTACGTTAGCCTCAAACTCCCTAGAAAACAACTTTACCTTACTGGGATGAGGCCTGTCTCGTCAAAAGTTAGTTGACAAAGGTCTTAGAGCATAGTCCTCAGTGCGCATTTGTATCAGTTACATGAAAACGACTTTTGTTACAATAATAATTATAAGTTGAACTCTGGTTGGGGGCCACACTATCATTGGTTTCATCAGAACTCGCCCAGAAATCTGGCAATGAATGGCTGTAAAACAGTTCCAACAGTTAGAACACTGAGTGACCCCCCTGCGATGGAAATTTTCAGCTATCCACCCTCAAACTTCCTCCTACTTCGTCTTCTTGATTAAGATAGATAGATAACTTTATTTAAACACGGTTAAAAAACCTTCAGCATGTACAAAAAATCTAAGATCTATAATTTCTAACTAAACTAACTCTGATTAAAAATATATTCATAAAATTTTAACTACCTAGCTATTTACAAATAAAAGCTGCTTTTCAAGGATGCCGTGTAAAAACTGTATTAATGTATGATCTCATTCAAAACTGTTGCGACTCAGTTTGCGTTTAAAATCATGTAAAGAATCTGCAGATCTTTAATCATGGGATAGGCTGTTCCACAGCTTAGCTCCGCTATAGGAGAAACTTTTCTTTAAATAATTGGTACGGGGCAGTGGAAGAACTAATTTATTTTCAGTATTCCTCAATCGATACGAAGTTATTTCGTCACGAGATACAAATTTAGATGTTAGATAGTCGGGAGTCATCCCATGTACGGTTTTATACATCATAATAGCCGTCGATACTTGTGTTTGGAGTTTAAGCTTACGCCAACCCAGTGCCAGGAACAAATCGTCCACATTACAATCAGAGTTAGCGGACATTAGAATACGGGCTGCACGATTTGGGAGCCTCTGCAGCTTATCGGAAAGACCAATGCCGCAGTTGCTCCATACGACATTACAGTAATCAAAATGCGGTTGAATTAAACTGTCGTAAACATTAATTAATACATTAAAAGGAATAAGATGTCGTATTCTTTTAATTGCACCCAAAGCAGAAGCAATCTTTTTACAAATACTCTGTATGTGGCATTCCCAGCTTAAGTTTTGGTGAATATGCACTCCAAGAGATTTTGCCGTTGACACTTGCATCACGGGATGGTCGTTTATCATAAAAGAAGGAGTTTCAGAAAGCTTTGATAGCTTCTGCCTCGACCCAACTAACATAAACTCAGTTTTAGTCAAGTTAAGGGTCAGTTTGTTAGCCGATAGCCATATATACACCTTGTTTAAATCGTCGTTAACGCAGTCATTTATGAGTTTTAAATCTGCGCTGGCATAGGTTAGGCTGGTGTCATCGGCATACATTCTAGGTTGTGAAAAATGCAAGCAATTAGGTAGGTCATTAATATACAGTAAAAACAATAAAGGTCCAAGAATTGTTCCCTGGGGAACACCACATGTAACTAATTTTGGGTTTGACATTGAGCAATTAATTTGGCAAGTTTGGGTACGATTGTTTAAATACGAAGTAAACCATTCGTGACAGGAACCGCGTAATCCATAATATTGTAATTTCGTTAATAAGATATGATGATCAACTGTGTCGAAAGCCTTTTTTAAGTCTAAGAAGACAACGGCATTGACAAGGCCACGATCAACGTTCACTGCCCAGCTATCGGTAGCTTCGAGTAATGCGGTTACAGTAGAATGTAAAGAACGAAAACCAGATTGGTAACGGGATAGAATACGATTCTCAGTAAGATAGTGATACAACTGGTCGTAGACTACCCGTTCAAATACTTTGGCCACGACTGGGATCACCGATATTGGTCGATAATTGGTGGGATCATTTCGTTTACCAGAATTTTTATACAATGGAGTAACCCTAGCCGACTTCCACTCATCGGGAAAAATTCCTGTCAACAGTGATTGATTAAATATTAAAGTAAGAGACTCGGCAATTAGATCAGGGCACTCCCTTAATAATTTAGCTGATATACTATCTAATCCAGTGGCCTTTGATTTACAAAGTTTTGAAAGGAGAGAATAAATATGAGCAGATGTTATTTCCTTGAAGACAAACTCCTTAGAAGTTCCACAAAGAAACTCTTTGTAGGTGGTATCAACATTCGAAACATTTCGACTAAGCCTTGGTCCAATCTCAATGAAGAAAGTGTTCAACAATTCAGCAACTTCTGCTTGATTGCTCGATTTTAGTCCCTGATATTGAATTTCATTTATTATTGTTTTATTAGATTTGCGGGAAGTCAATTCATTGATGGTCTTCCAGGTCTTACGTTGATCACCGGCATAATTATTAAAAGAATTATTATAATAGGCCTTTTTAGCAGCCTTGATTTCTTGATTACTTTATTTTTGACCTTCCGGAATCGATTCCAAGAGGACGCATCCTTAGTTTTAACAGCTTTTTCTCTGCTTGCTAGAATTGGCTTGCATTCTTCAAAAATTATTTAAACTTCGGCTCACCATAACCAATTTTTAGCCTGGTGTTGTAATGATGTTGTACAATTGTGGCAGAATACCACAGAAATTTTCACCAACCAGCTACGTTTTGGAATTATAAACCTTCGAAGTTTCACTTCAATAAATTCCCATTGCAGTATTCATGGTGAAAAGAATACCAACGCTAAAAAGATGAAGGGTCACATAGGACCGGTTATTTAAATGGAGTTTAACAAAACTGCGTTCTAAGCCATCTTCCGTTTGCTCAACGCTTTTATCTAATCCTCGTTTATCGTGAACAGTTTCACGACAGCATTAAGCGTAGACTATAAAAGCATTTCTCTTAAAATAACCCACTTAGCAAGAGATCTACATTGAAAAGATTTCTTAATTAACCGCGTACTTAGTTAGACTTTGTTTAGTCTTCACGGTTAGGTGCGTGAGACTTAATTAAGTTATAATACAGCGAATAACTGTATTGGGTAGAAGCGGAATCATTTGAAACTTGATGTTCATGATTCCTGTCGTTTTTGCCTCAGTGATTCATGATTCCTACAACAATTTTCCTCCAGATTCATGATTCACGAAGACTTCTGATCACCTATTGATTTAATGACGGGGGGGGGGGTACTTTGGGAATTTCTGGGTAGGGATGTGCTGCTGGGACCCTGGAACCCTTAACCTATACCAGAGTTAGTTCAGCTGAATTTTGCTACCCTATACTAAAGTAAACTCCCCAAATCCCCCTATCCTAGAGTAGCTGTTTCCCTTGTCTAGATAAAATCTTCAACCAACTGATCTGTTTCCTGAAAAATGCTACCCTATTCTAGACCCAAACGCTCTGATTTACATACCCTATCCTAGAGTAAACTGCCTGAAAACCATACCTTCGCAGCGGCACATACCTATATAGCCCATACATGGCAGTACCCCCCCCCCCCGGGTTTAATGATTTTCTCAGGGGCAACTTAGTCTCGTTTTGCATATTATTTGGTGTTCAAACTTCTGCTTCATTCAGACTTGGTATCATCATTCGTTTTGTCTTGGCATGGAGTTTTTTGTAACTGAACAATTGGAGAAACAAGCGGACTGTCAGCGCCGAATGCACGAATTAGATAGGGGTTCCGGGGGCATGTTCCCCGAAAAATTTTTTGAAAATTCCACTCTCGGAAACGCCATATCCTGCATTCCCTGGATCGAACGCAATTAATTCATACGTGTATTTTATTGAGCTTTTCTCAGAGTCTCGTTATTCATGATTCCCGAGCCGAAGTACAAAGATTCTTGATTCCCAAGTTTTCAAAGATTCATGATTCTTACATGTTTTGTAACTATGATTCATGATTCCGCTTTCACCCCCGAGTATCGATAAACGGGACTGGAAGGCGAATTTAACGTAGGCGACATTGTGAGGTCATGAATCTTCGTTCAAGAGCACCTCACATTCTCGTGACCACAGCAAAGAGTCTTTCATTGTTGCATTCTGTCAGTTCCAAGCTACTGAACACCCTTAAATAATTCGTTTTAATTTTGTCAGTTTACAGTACACATGTTATGTCTGTCCTCTAATAAATGATCATTGTTTTTCACTCTTTGACTGGATTGTTTTTGAAATTAGATATATATATATTTTTTTTGGCGTTGTCTCGCTTCAGGTGGCTAACTAAAAGACCACATAAGTTCATTTTTATTACGCAAAAGCTAAACGCATCACTTATATTATTTCGCAATATTCATTTAAAATACAGTTTTATGGAAATCAAAACAATCTCTTGTTGTCACTATTATAGAAAACAAACTCATTAAATTATTTGCCAATAATATACGTGCTCAAGAATACTTAAGGAAGGTCACGCAATTGACGAAAAATATAAAGGTCCTCGTCTTTCGTCGACATTTTGAGCACGCAGTCTGTCATTTGTCTGCCATAACACCACACGCACGTTGAGTTTCCGTATAACCTGGTAACATTTATTCATCGAAAAATCGATATACCATTAAATAAACGAGTTCTATTTTTCTCCTGTAAAGAAAGGCCATAACACTCAGTCACGGTAGAGATATTGCCAGTTATCCGGTGCACGAACTGACAAACAATTTCAACTTAGTCATTCGGTCAGCAGTACTATAAAGTTCCACACTTTTTGGCTGTAAACCCCAAGTTTAAAAACTGTTCACATCATTATCGTATTCCCGCGTTTCAAGCAAAAAGCCCGCTCTACAAAACGATGAAGTGGCCTTCAAAGACGCTCTCCCATGCCAGGCTAGCTTGTATCTCCACGAAAAAAGACATGTCTTCGCCCCAGCAGAGAGTTTTTATGCAGTAATTTTCGATAATTTCACCAATGTTAGCTGTTTCTTGTTAAGGTAAGGAATCTCTTCTATCCCTCTCCAAGCTGAAATCGTGAAAGGGTTTTCCTGTTAATCCCTTCACATTTGGTTCGCCGCGTTGGCGATGGCCCGAGAAGTTTCTGCTATAAGAAGGTAGTCTTGTCTCTTTAGCCGGGTTTTCATGAAGCGTTTTTTCAAAACCGATTTCTTTCTTTGTACTACAATTTGCACTTCTTTGCCGCGTAGATGTAACAGAGGAACTTGATGAATATTGAGATGAGGTTACGGGTACCATATTAGGGGATGTCATCGTTCTGTGAATTCGTCGTTTAGGAGACTCGCAACGCTCACCTCGTTCGCCTCCCAGCTTAGTGTACGTCTTGGTCACGAATGGCGATTCTTCATTGATGCTTCCTTCAAAGGACAAAGTTCCGACCAATGGAAGCTTTCTTGATGTCTGTTTAGCCGGTGGAGCGCTAGTAGCCCTTCGTAAGCAAGCCTTGTCCCGTATAAAATGAATTTGTTCCTGTCGCCTAGCAAACACTTGGGAAGCTTTTTCCATTTCACGCAAGCGAATTGACCTATCCTTCTCTAGTTGTTGTAGTTCAAGGCTTAGTCTTGTCTGATGGACCGTGTTTCGTTTCAAGGCAGAATGTTCGTCCGCTGACGAGGCCATACTTGATAGATCAGAGCTGTCTTGAATTGAAAGCTGTGACTCGGATCTTCACTTACAATGACTATGACCTTCTGCACACAACGTAGTGACCTTGATTGTTCCGGAGTGGTGCCCTTTTTTTGCTAATATCTTGGCTTGCTAACAGCTGATTTTTAATGAACTACACCGAGATTAACAGCTTTCCGGTAAGTTAATAAAGCGAGAGACTTTTATGTTCTTTAGACCAAGTATATTTAAGATTGTAACAGAACAAAATTAACTGAATGTCTCAATTCTCGTTTTATACTGGGTTTCGATGGGTAAGCGAAGCTTTTTACTTAAAAAAAAAAAGAAGACGAAAAAAAGAAAATACAACTAACTTTGGCAGTGTCCACTGTCACTTGTCGTTAACCTCAAAGTTCGAACAATGTAGGAATGTATACCCGGGCTTAGTTTTCGCTAATTTGACAACTTGTCGTGATGAATTCGTTTACTCAAGTTTATATAAATACATTAAATTCGATCTAGAAATTAAGTCGATTAAAAATTCGATGCGTAAAAAAAGTGCAACATCACGCAAAGTTTCAGGTCACGTACGTGGAATAAGCTCTAATATGACGCAATGTCGCAATACTCGTTCTCATGTTCCTCTATCTCTAGCAGGCCATACTTCCTTTTGGCATCATGGGACAAAGGATCGACAAAGATGCAGCAACTTAACCTGAGATCAGACTCTATTTTCGTTTCGCTGCGAAAATACAGGGGCACCCAACGAGAATATAGTTCAAAACCACCTAAACATAGCATTGTTAACCGTATTTTAGTATTTAAACGGTAGATATAGGAATACTTTCATCCCCTAAATTTTTTTTACCTGTTCGGATTTCCTAGCTGGAAGTCTAGTGATCCGAAAATCATCTAGGGATTAAAACTTACCTTTTCAAGAATTTCAGCCAGAAAAAAGGTTCCCGAAAATTCTAGGTGACAATCCGTTAAAAATGGGCAATTGTTCCATATTTTAGACGTTCGAAAATCCTAGGAGAGGCAGGCAAGCAAGAAATTTTACAACATATGTTCCGAAAATTCTAGATCTCAAGGCGTGTGTTCCGAACAGATATTTTCCGGAAATTGACGTTGGGTGCCCCTAAAAATAACATTCCGGCGGGCAAGGCGAAATTTTAGAGAGAATGTATGAGAACCGCTAAAATTGGGCCTGATCTCAGGTTAGCAGCAACTGAACTCTTTGGTCTAAAGTCGTGGTTCAGCTGTTTAACTGAATCGGTTTTTAAGTCAATGTCCCATTTAATTCTTCAAGATTTGCTCAGTTGTTGGGCAATAATAAAAATGGGCAATATCTAACTGGATTTGCAAAACGTGGCTAGTGAACGGCTAGTGAAAATAGCAACCATTGGCATAGCTTTCCGTTTGGTTTTTGCCTGCGTGCAGACGTCTCCTATTTCCTTTGTTGCACGGGGAAAAGGATCTTTTCCGCGTGCAACAAAGGAAATAAGAGACGTCTGCACGCAGGCAAATGGTTTCGGAGCGAAAAAAGACCGTGGAAAGGTATTTTCGGTTTTGACCGCGCGAGAAATAAAACGAGTACCAAAAAATGAAAGAGGGGGGAGGGAGAGGAGAACCAACCCCTAGTACTTGCGCCATTTTTCGCGCGGTCTTTGATTCTGGTTCCTCACTCTTTGCTCCTAAACCGCACAGAAACGCTTGGCGGTACGGGTTTGAGGCCAAAACATCAGCAAGTGATATCTGGGGTCTGGCAATTCCGGCAATCACTCCACCGAATGAGAAGGAGAGGTAGATAGAAAGAGCAAAAACAAGGGAAGTGAAAAATAAAAGCACATTGTGTTCAGGATTATTTTTATTCAGTCCGATTTTGCGAAGAGTGTAAAAGGGCACAGATTCCTCTAGCCTCCCCCACAGGCGTTTTTAGGGGAGATCGTATTTCTTCCTCCCCACATATATAAGAGTCCCCGGATGTTAAGAGTGGCGGGGGTTGTTGGGAAATGTTTGTTTATTTGTTTCGTATTTTGTTGAATGGATTTGTACGGATTTTAAAGCGGAAACCTAAGAAAAACAGACTGTAAAAACAAAGACAGTGGCCCGACGCACTCGCAGGTTTTTTTTTTACTTTGGAGATCACTGTCGGGTTACAAGACCCCTCCACTGACCTTAATGGGTAAAAATTCATCCCTACGAATTCTTGCTTGTCAACATGGTCAACTGTGTGCTGTATTAAATGAGCCTTACTTTTTCTGAACTAAACGTTCGTATAACAGCACGGCTATGTTCACAGGCAATGCTGTTGTTTATAAAACTTAAGTCTAGAACGTCTAGACTGACAGTCAAATGCACACTTTCCTTGACCAAATGAATTCACAATTTGTCTAGATGTTTATGGAGTCCAAATTGCAGTCAAAACTTCGTGTATTGGACAAAGATGACGTCAAACAAAAGGCTTCTTTGTTTTCTGTTCAGGGGAAATCGTCATGGTTTTTGTTCTTTTGCTTTCCGTCATCTGTGTCCACTAGACAATTTGAATAAGTGCCCAAACTCCCATCACAGCCATCCTCTCCACCCATTTATTACATGAATTTGTCGTGAATGTAAAGTGCAGAATGGATTGATCTTATAGGAGACCCTATATCTGCTTGTCGTTTTTAAATTTCTTAAAACAATATTCTGCCTGTGAAACACATTTAACTTTGGTGAACATCCTCTTACTTCTTTGAAAGGAGAGTTAAATTTTCCCTGACTTACCACAGGTGGCACAATTTTCAAAATATAGGGATTTGTAAGGGAGAAAAACAATTTTTTCTGTAGCCTACGAAGTAAAAGGATTAAATAAAAATCGGCTAACCTTGCTTAAAACCGGTGTGGGTGTTATTGGAACCGGTTTATGTTCTTCCTCTTAATTCTATTTATTTTAAAACAATCTGCCGTATTATGCACGATGTATCCAATAATGTAACACCTCCAAACGTTTCCAGCTTATTTACCTATTCTTCAAAAGTACATCATCATAATACACGATTTTCTGCGGCTGGCAATTTCTATATTAAGCACTCGAGAACTAACCATATGAAGAACTCCTTTTCAAAAATTGGTGTAAAAATATCGAATAGTACTCCCGACAGTGATCGTGCTCTACCTAAATATAAATTTAAGAATACCCTACACAGTAGGCTACTGGATATTTTGATACTTATGTTGGCGTGCGTACTTTAATTAACATATTTAGTAAATATGAATTTCACTCATACCTTGTTTCATTTACCTATTTTTAAGTATACAGGTGTATGTATTTACTGTTTAGTGGATTCAATATGTCGATGTTCGTGTATCTGTGTAACTTTATTGTCATGTTTCAGCCCTGTTATTGTAACTTTTTTACTTTTCCTTCCCGCCTCAATTAGCTATACGCTACTTTGCGGGCAAGGATTAATTATGGTTTGTATAAGAAGAGTTTTTAAATAAACTTGAACTTGAACTTCTAGATCTCTCTATAATAGATTCCCGTGTGACGAGATTATAAACTCTCTTCACTCGGAATTATCGTTGTTAACTAATGCATTGATAATTAGTGAAACTGCCACTCAGACAAGTGGCCAATAATGCCAACACTCGAGTGGTTTTCTGTCTGTTATATTGTATCAGAACAATAGCGTGACTTCAATGAGAGCTCCCGAACTTACTTTTAGGGTATCGGCATGAATACATTGATGGCAACAGAATCGAAAGGGTCACAGCTTATAAAACTGCTTGGAGTTTATGTTAGCAGTGATCTGAATTGGACCCATCACTGACCCATCATGTAGACTCTACATAATTAAAAAGGGAAATAAGAGGCATGAGTCTCTCAGAGTTCTCAAGCAGTTTGATGATCCACCAGCTGAAACCCTCGCAATGCTTGAAACCCTTGCAACCCTTGCAACCCTCGCAACGCTTGAAATCCTTGCAACGCTTGAAACCAGCACTCCCTCCACACGCGCGAAAATTATGAACGAGGCGGAACGAACGTGACACCATATGAACAATATTATTGATTTGAAACCCTCGCAACCCTTCACACTCTGTGAGCCAATCACAGTAGACCTTAGGATAGCTGCTACAGTACTGGATGTTTGCACCTCGTAGTCTTGCAAAAACGGCAACGAACTGTACAAAAAAAGTGTGATGCACGTACAAAGTTGTTGTTTTGCTTATTTAACCTATTGTTGACTTTTTTGACGTTCTCGTTACCGTCGCCNCATATGTTCCGAAAATTCTAGATCTCAAGGCGTGTGTTCCGAACAGATATTTTCCGAAAATTGACGTTGGGTGCCCCTAAAAATAACATTCCGGCGGGCAAGGCGAAATTTTAGAGAGAATGTATGAGAACCGCTAAAATTGGGCCTGATCTCAGGTTAGCAGCAACTGAACTCTTTGGTCTAAAGTCGTGGTTCAGCTGTTTAACTGAATCTGTTTTTAAGTCAATGTCCCATTTAATTCTTCAAGATTTGCTCAGTTGTTGGGCAATAATAAAAATGGGCAATATCTAACTGGATTTGCAAAACTTGGTTAGTGAACGGCTAGTAAAAATAGCAACCATTGGCATAGCTTTCCGTTTGGTTTTTGCCTGCCTGCGGACGTCTCCTATTTCCTTTGTTGCACGCGGAAAAGGACCTTTTCCGCGTGCAACAAAGGAAATAAGAGACGTCTGCACGCAGGCAAATGGTTTCGGAGCGAAAAAAGACCGTGGAAAGGTATTTTCGGTTTTGACCGCGCGAGAAATGAAACGAGAACCAAAAAATGAAAGAGGGGGGAGGGGGAGGGGGAGGGGAACCAACCCCTGGTACTTGCGCCATTTTTCGCGCGGTCTTTGACTCTGGTTCATCACTCTTTGCTCCTAAACCGCACAGAAACGCTTGGCGGTACGGGTTTGAGGCCAAAACATCAGCAAGTGATATTTGGGGTCTGGCAATTCCGGCAATCACTCCACCGAATGAGAAGGAGAGGTAGATAGAAAGAGCAAAAACAAGGGAAGTGAAAAATAAAAGCACATTGTGTTCAGGATTATTTTTATTCAGTCCGATTTTAAAGAGTGTAAAAGGGCACAGATTCCTCTAGCCTCCCCCGCAGACGTTTTTAGGGGAGATCGTATTTCTTCCTCCCCACATATATA